GTCCTTATATACCCCTTATATAGCCGATAGTCTCCATGTTAACCCCGATGCCCTACAAGGGTCCCTATTAAGGGTCCCTCCTAAAGCCCTTAGAGTGTAAGGTTTCCGTGCCGGGTGTATCCTCCATGTCCGATACTGTCGCTGCCTGCGTGTCCGTCATTGTGCTGACCATCTCCCCTTCGCTCCCTGACATGCGAACTTTTCTTTAGATTTAGAGGGTTGAAAGCTTTTCTGCTTGAAAAAGGCTGGCTTTACCCCGAGGCTCCAAATAGCCCAAAATAGGTACTATTTATAGACTTTAGACCCCAAAGTAGGTACTATTTGTGTACTCGGAGCCCCAGGGTTAGTGTTCTAGAATTCATGGATAGTTTCGGGCTTTTGAGCTGCCTGGGCTTGTATTGGGGTTTGGGGGTTCAAGGTCTCTGGGTCTTCAGGGATGTTTAGAGCCTTGCTTCTTCACAAGTTCAGGGCTTCATGAATCCGGGTTTAGGCGGCTAATGGCTCGGGCTGGAGGGATCAGGTGTCCAGAAGTTATGTAGACCCCTGATTCATCAAACCCCTCTTCTATGAGGACACTCATGTCAGGATTCTTAGTAACGGGGAGGGTCTTATGAATCGCGGGTCCATTATCTGATTGCAGTTCTGGAATATGTGGACCACAAGGCCATACCCAAAGAAAGTGCTTAAACATAGCTTGGCTTGGCTGGGGTGTAGAATTGGGCTCTGTTGCTCGTGCGCAGCAATCCTCGATCCCACCCGGTAAAGCTTAAACAGACAGAGTGGGGCTTTAGGACTTTAGGGTTTGGGGCTTTCAATGAAACCCTAAACCCTAAACCCCATAAGCCCTAAACCCAGGGCTTCGGCTAAGGCCCTAAACCACTCTAGACCTGCAGCCCCTGACCCCAGATCCCCCACCAAACTCCCCCAACCCCAAACCCCTAGAGTCCCGTGTCCCAAAAAGCCTCTGAGCATCAAAGCTTTCCAAAGACAGCGTTTTGGACTGGGTTGTTTCTGGGAGATCCACTGAGGAATAGATTCAGAGGACTGCACGCATGAAACTTGTTTAAAACCTGGAAAAACCGCGTTAGAAGAACTGGGGACTGTATAAACATCTAGCAGAGTCGCAGCGAAGCCGTCCTGCGTCCAAATTTCTGCCGCCGGCTTAAACAGACAGCATCATCTGAAGTCCTCTTCTCACGCAGAGGCGGCATATCGAGGAAGCCACCCTGGAGCCGAAACCCTCAACTCTAAACCAACCCCGCCCCCCCGAGTCTGCTACAATGGCCTGGTTCGTAGTCGCACTGCCCCAACTCTCGTGGCATCCTGGTGTGTGTGTGTGTGTGTGTGCTAGAGGGGCCTTCATTGGACTTGGGCTTTGGGGTACATTACACGATGCATCACATCAGTAGCCTCTACTAAGAAGCCCTGAAGACCCGGTTCCTTGGCTAGCCCTCAGCCTCACCTCCAAACAGCCCCTAAACCCTAAACCCTAAACCCTAAACCCTAAACCCCAAACCCTAATCCGTGCTGAGCAGAGGCCTCAGGGTTTTGCACTACGAAGCCCAAGGAATTCAAATCATGCCGGCTCCGAAACCGAAAGCACAAACCCGAACTCATCAAACATTCTGGGCCCCCATTACAAAGAAAACTCTACTTGATTGTAAACCCAAAACACCGAAACCTGGCAAAACACAACTTCTGAAGCAACTATCTAGATAGATATATATATATATATATATATACATACGTTTCTATCTATATACATATATATATATATATATATTGTTTTTTCATAGTTTGATCCTTCATCGCCACAAGCCCTGGACCCTGCACCCGCTGAACCCTCTGAAGCCTTTATGCCCGAAGCCGCAAGCCAACCAAAAAGACATCAGCAACGGGCTCGAGCACCAGCACCAGCAACAACACACCAGAAAAAATGCCGAACACTGTAGGAAACAATAAAAGGAGCAACAAACAACTGAAAGGGAAACCGACAGTATCAGACACAAGGACAGGCTGCTATTTCAGAACATAATCGAAAAGAACCCAATCATTGAAAACAACAAAAGAAGCAACACAAGGGTAGCTCTCCAAATTAGGGTCCCTTTCTAGGGTCCTTTTATAAGGGTGCCGTACTTCATTGGGGACCTGAAAAGGGAACCCTAAACCCTAAACCCTAATTGAGAGAACTGCCCACAAAGGCCCTTGAGGCGAGAAGCAGGTCTGAAGGAGTTCCGGAGAATCCGATGCGCTGCCCAAAGAGGATGGAGCCTTGGGGTTTGGGTGTAGGGTTTAGGGTTTAGGGCTTTAGGGTTTTAGGGTTTAGGGTTTAGGGTTTTGGGAGTTATGTGCTATAAGGGTTTATGGGCCTTAATACTAGATATTCGAACAGGCTTCCGGTGCGCACTCTGTTATAAACATACCAAGCCCTAAGGAACCATGTTACTAATTCTTTCGACCCGTGTATTAGGTGATCTAAAGCTTTGGGGCTTTTGGAGGGTCGGGGGACATAGCAAGAAGGTCATAAGTAGAGTTATAAGTACCTTACAAGGGATCCTAATTGGGGTTATGATACTTAATAACTCTATAAAATGACTACCTACTACGTCTCCCGACCCTCCAAGTATGGTATCTAAACCCTAAACCCTAAACCCTAAACCCTAAACCCTAAGGTTGGTTAGCTTGAGGGGACCTCAGGGTCTGGCGCGGGAGTTTGGCTGTTTGGGGCTTCAGGGTTTAGGGGTTTAGGGGTTTAGGGTTTAGGGTTTAGGGTTTAGGGTTTAGGGTTTAGGGTTTAGGGTTTGGGGCTTCGGATGGGCAGGTTATTTGACGCTCACACACGCCCTCAAGACAAGCTGAGCCTAAGAAACAGGGTTAAGGTCTAGGTTTTTTTTGTAGCTTTTACAGTTCTCTGTAGCTTTTAAAGTTTTTTGTAGCTTTTACAGTTTTCTGTAGCTTTTAAAGTTTTTTTGTAGCTTTTAAGTTTTAAGATTTCACATTGGTGTTGCTCCTGCTTGTTTCCAGCTGCTAGCTCTGAGGAGGCCTCTCACCGTCGCTGTCGCCGTCGCCCAAAACGTCTTACGTCATCCCTAAACCCTAAACCCTAAACCCTAAACCCTAAACTCTAAACCCTAAACCTTAAGCCTGAATGCTAAATCCCGGGGCACCACTACGAAGTCTATTCATAATCATGCACAATGCCAGTATGGCTATGGTTTTACGGTTTCAGGTTTAGTTTAGGGTTTAGGGTTTAACACAGCTATGGTAACTCGAGACTCTGTCTCAGCCGTCTAGGATCACAAAACGACCAGACCTGCAAAGCCCTTCGACGAAGGAGCTTCCTTTCAAGAGCTGCTTGACGGTTTAGGGTTTATAGTGCTTAGGGTTTAGGGGCTAGCATAGACTAATCGTTCCCGCATAACCACGTTCAACTCTTGCAGGTTGCGCTGCTTGGGGTTCATGACATCCTTTGACCCTTCGTTGTCTTTGAAACACATGTAAGCGGTGTCAAGCAGCTACAATGCAAAAGTTCCAGCTTCAATCCCATAACAATTCGACGATGTCAAGCAAATTCCTTGACCGAAAAATGGGGGACCCCAAATTTAGAGTAGCACCCTTAGTTCAAGGACCCCCCAAACCCTACACCTCAAATGCTAAAACCCTACGGTTGATGATATCAATCCTGCATTACCCATAAAGAGGAAGAAACCCTTAATTCCCACAAAACCCTAAACTCTAAGCCCTGAACCCTAAACCCTAAACCCTGAACCCTAAACCCTGAACCCTAAACCCTAAACCCCAGTTCAGGGTCCTTGAACGTCAGTGGCTCGTAAACCCTAAACCCTAAACCCTAAAGCCTAAACCCTAAACCCTAAACCCTAAACCCTAAACCAAAAGCCAAAAGCCCGAGGCGCCTCCCAGATCCTGACCGGAAGCCTGAAGCGACAAAGTCGTTTTCTTCTGGAACGGCTGATGGGGATTTGGGTTTTTCGGGGGGTTTAACTTAGGGTTTTGAGTTTCGGGTTTAGGGTTTAGGGTTTTTTGGGGGTTTCGGGTTTTGGGATTTAGGGTGTATAGGGTTTAGGGGTTTTGGGGTTTTTGGGGTGGTTGGGGCCTTTTGTTCGTTGCTTCCACCTTCCGGCTTCAAGCTCGGGTTTAGGAATGTAGGCTTAGGGGGCTGAGCACTCTATTTAGGGTTTAGGGTTTAGGGTTTAGGGTTTAGGGTTTAGGGTCTAGCCCAAAAAAAGTTAACCTTTGAATAAAAACAGTAGGATTATATAAGCCTCAAAAGGTTAATATAAGCCTCAATAATAACAACAGTAGGATTATATAATCCTCAAAAGGTTAAAGGTTACCTACTCAGCTACTAAGTAACCATTTCTTCTCGGCTTCACAGCACGCAGAAGCTGTCGGGGCTTGGGGCTTGGACGGAGCTGGGGGAGGGGTCTGAGTAGAGGACCTTAAGCAGCATGGTCGGGGCGTTTAATTTAGATGCCTTAATAATTACCTATGATATGTTGGGGGGGGGGGGGGTTCCTTATTATATTATACCACCCAAAACCCTATTCTAATTATTAAGGCCCCTACATTAACCGCCAGCGCATGGGTTTGTGGGGCTTGGCGGGCAGCGGGCTTGAAGGTGTTGAAGTACACAGGCGCTTCTTGACTTTGCAGCCCGGTTCATTGGGGGAAGTGGTGCTGCACTAACAGGGTTTAGGGGTTAGGGGTTTAGGGTTTAGAGAAGTGGTGCTGCACTGAACAGACTTCTGTGGCTATCACACTTGCAAGAACGGGTTCGCGGGCACGTGCCAAGCCATCTTGGAACTGCATACATCTATTCATGGAGTCACTGTAAGCCCTAAACCTAAATGAGGTTGGTTGGCAATATTTTTCTTAAAGGGTTCCGTCAGGGTTTCAAGGGTTGGGGGAGGGGGGGTCAAGGTAGATATGCTATAATCGAAATAATATTAAAGAACCTAGTATAGGAAGCGGTGATGTCCCAGTCACGAGATTCTTGGGCTAGGCTTGACGGCTTCTGGGCTTCGGGGCTCCAACAAGCACCAAACGCTTAACCCCTAAACTCAAAGCCCTAGATCCAAGCCCTAAACACTAAACTTCACTAAACGCTAGCACACTAACACCACCAAAACAACACACCACAGTCTTCCAAACTCAAAAACAAGCTTTGCCGGCTTTGAGGCATACACAGCCGACTGACAGGGTTTTATGGATGGCGGTAAACGGTTCAGGGTTTGGAAGCCCACCTAAGCATGAACCTGCAAGATTAAATCCGTATCGCCAGGCTTATACATAGCATCGAGATAGGCAGTTGCCCAAATCGAGGTCCGCTTTTCCATCGTATCAGATAGTACGTAATTCTCAACATGAGGAGCTCTGGAAAGCACCCGAGTATAAAACAAAACCTACCATGTAGGTATAAAGAAGTACCACGTAGGTCACAGGACTCCAGAAAATGAAGCTACTATGACGTCTTCTTTGTTTGGGGTTTAGGGTATGGGGTCGAGGGTTAACGGCACGGCCTACAATAGCCTGCAAGCTTCCCAGAGACTCCAATATCCCTTACTTTAGGAATATACCTTAAATCAAACTAAGGATCCTACTATAATTTAAGGTATATTCCTTAATGAAAGAATATACCTTAAATCATATGAAGGATCCTAGTATAATTTAAGGTATGTTCCTTAACTAAGGAATATTGGAGTCTCTGGGTTGTGGCCCTGTGATCCTGAGGTCTTCGCCGACAGCTTCTCATCTTGGAAGCGCATAACTTGGCTCTGTTTAGGGTTTAGGGTTTAGGGCTTAGGGTTTAGGGCTTAGGGCTTAGGGCTTAGGGTTTAGGGTTTAGGGTTTAGGGTTTAGGGTGTAGGGTTTGTTGCAGAGGCCGCGGAGGGCTGGGTGGAAGGATTGAGAACAGAAGCTCCTGACAGCGAAGCCAAAGACCTCTTTTCTGAATGCTCTGAAACAACGCACTCACACTCGCTCACTGACTCACTGACTCACTCACTCACTCACTCACTCACTCACTGACTCACTCACGCACTCACATGCTGCACAGCACAACTCCTGGAAATGACACGACTATGACAACGAACACTCCGTGATTGCGATGGTACCCACGCGAAGCGCACAGTAACAAAGCAAAGTGCTCTATGCCTTTCCCTGCGGCTTTGGTTGGCAAACGCAACATGTTCCTGTCTTAAGGAGAAGGGTGACAGAGATGGTGGTAACACTTGTTATCATGACCTTTCATCCTGAACCGTGATGAACCGTGCATAAAACCGTAACTTTCGAAACTCCCGCCCTCTCCCAAAAAACGACGACGAAAAGCTCAGTGGCAGCAGGAGTCACTGAGCCCTGAACCCTAAACCCCTGAGCCCTGAAGCCCCAAACCGGAAAGGACGCTCCATCTGCCCGAGGTACACTGGGGGAACACCGACTGCTCCAGGTAGAAATGCACCTTTTCGTAGGGTTTTGGGTTTTAGGGGCGCTCTTAGGGTTTAGGGTTTATAGGGTTTCGGGTTTAGGGCTGTCTTGGGCTTGTAGATGCGAGGGGTTTGGACTTCGGTGTCTTGCTGGGATTTGAAAGCTCCGGGAATAGTAGGCCCACGTTCTCAGTAGACACCCCAAGATCACCCGCAAAAAAGCAGGACTTTCACAAGAAGGACTCCCTGAAAAAAGCACAGTGCTCTATTCAAGCACTCGGCTGGCAGACCCCAGACCCGAAAGGCGCGCAAAAGAACCAACGCCTAAACCCTAACATCCCCAAAACCTGAAAATAAAGCACCTCAGGTACCCCCGAATATCCCACAAGGTTTCGAAGACCTAAACCCTAAACCCTTTTTGCATCAGGACTTGTGCAATCGCCTAAACCCCAAACTCCAAATCCTGAAGATCCCGCCGGAAGACCCCGAGGACCTAAACCACTCATGTCCCAGGGCACCGCCGAGGGCAGCTTCCGAAGGAGTTCGAAAAGCTGGGCCATGTTGGCCTAGCTGACTTTCCGGATGTAGGGTTTAAGGTTTAGGGTTTAGGCTTATAATGTAGGGCCTTAATAATTAGAATAGGGTTTTGGGGTATATTCTACCATAATTCTAACAAGGAACCCCAAAAATGGTATAGGTAACTATTGAGGCCCCTATATTACTTTCCGGATTTTGGGTTTAGGAGTTTAGGATCTAGCGTTTGGGGTTTAAGGTGTAGGGTTTAGGATCTAGCGTTTGGGGCTTAAGGCTTAGAGATTGTGGGTTTACTAAAGGGCCGGCAGATTTGGCAAGCAGAGCAGAGTAACAAAAAAGGTTCCTTCAAGGTTCCTTCAATAGCTCATTGCCAAAAGGCGTGTTGGTACTGAAAGCATCAGGGGGCATCGTAAGAAGGGCTTTAAGTTATATGTTGCAGGGACCTTATGGCGTTGTTTTTGCTGTAAGTAGCTATGCGTTTAGTTTCCCTACCCCGACCTCGTTCTGGCCTCAATTAAACCCTATATGCCTACTCTTCGCGCAATATACCTCTATTTGGGGGGTGAACGGAGGGTCCTGGTACTTACAGCCCTACTTACCAAGTACCCGGACCCGTGAAGCAGGATCTTCATACTCAGACTTGAGAAAGGGGTCCATGCTTCAGGGATAAGGGCTGTAGGACTCCATGGCTTAAAAGCTTCATGGCTTAGGCCGTTGAGTCGTTCTAACTGTGAGGTTGCTATGTTTTGTTCGGCGGCGCCCTTTCTTGAGGGTAAGAGCGGGGGAGAAAACAAGGCCACATTGCTGACGCCAAGAGGGATCATCATTTAGCGAACCCTAAACCCGAAGCCGCAAACTCTAAAATCTAGGGATTGCTCGAAAAGTCTTTCCAGAGGAGAGGGCCGTCGGATTTTGGGGCTTTGGGGTAGGCCACAGAGAAGATACGATACGACAAGGACTACCAAGGGATGTTCTTGTAAATAAGTTCGACCCATATATATATATATATATATATATATATATATTACACTTCCTTATGAGAATATCCTGGCGGCAAAAGGCACCTTGCTTGTGGCTATGCTGAGGAGAAATACTTTCGACATGCACCCTGTGCTAAGCCTTATACACGTCTTCTACAGCACTACAAACATCGTAAATCACACGAACTAGAGACTCCGATATTCCTTCATCCAGGAATCGTCCTTAAATTATAGTAGGATCCTTAATATGATTGAAGGTATATTCCTTAATTAAGGGATATTGGAGTCTCTGGGATCATACGAACTACAAGCTCCTGCAAAGCCCAGTGCACCCCGATGGAAACGCAGGCGTTCGAGTGGAGGAACTTACTTGAAAGTTCAACTTTAGCTTTTGCTACGCTAGGGCTATGGGTTTACAGGTTACAGGCGTAGAGCTATTCAGAGTGAAGAGTGGAGGGGGGTGCCGCATTAATGAGGGGCTACAACAAGGTTTCTAGTGTTTAAATAGATGTGCGGTAAGGTTAGGCTATCTTCTGCTCGAGGGGTCTAAATACATGCGTTGGATTTGGAGCGTCTCGTTCAAGAAACTCAAAAGAGACAAGGCCGTGCAGAATACTGTGGCTAGAATAAAGGATCCTACCCTAAACCCTAAACCCTAAACCCTAAACAATAAAGGATCCCACAAAGAAAGTACGTTATTCATCAACCCTAAGCTGTACATCCTCACTCCCGTGGCATCATGAAAAGCCCTGATGAGCAACCCACCGGTTTAGGGTTTAGGGTTTAGGGTTTAGGGTTTAGGGTTTAGGATCCCAATATTGATGCCTGTAGAGAAAACGTGTTTATTAATCAGAATTCTACACCAGGGTTCAGGGAACTTTAAGACCTAAAACCCTAAACCCTAAGCCCTAAGCCCTAAAACCCTAATGCCCTAAACCCTAAAGCCCTTTTGCAACTGGCCTGCTGCGACTCCGCCAGGACGAACACTTGACCACAATCACTTAGTGCCCTAAAACCCTAAACCCTCAAACCCTAGTCACTTTAAGAGTCCAGCAGTTCAAGGTTCGGAAGCTTTCTATGGAAGCTTGCCGCCGAAACATCCCCAAACTTAATATCCGGTAGGGTTTAAGGTTTAGGGTTTAGGGGTTTAGGATTTAGGGATCCTTATACGAGCGAACACTGCAATCTTTGTAGTCCCCGATTGACCACCCGCCTTCCCATAAGGTAGATCCTGAGGTTTGGGCCACAGAAGGGCTTGTTGATCGTGGTTCCCCTACTTGCAGGATCAACTGGCTTAGTAAGTAGGGTTATTCTGGAACACGTCCTTGCCTCCGCCACTCGAGCACCCAGGCACGAACACCCCCCCCCAAAACAGCCTTCCCAGAGACTCCAATATCCCTTGATTAAGGAATATTCCTTAAATTATAGTAGGATCCTTAATATGATTTAAGGGATATTCCTTAATTAAGGGGTATTGGAGTCTCTGGGTTATGGCCCCATAAAGAGTCGGCCGCCGGTCTCCCAGGATTGTAACTGTCGCCACCAGTTGACGTCGATCGTGATCTCATCGTAATCGATGATCATAGTCATGAGCAGGGTCGACATGAGGAGCTATGTGCATAATATAGGGCCTTAATAATTAGAATAGGGTTTGGGGGTATATTCTACTATAACTTTAAGAAGGAGCCCTCCCAAAATAATCTATGTACCAGTGATTATTAAGGCCCCTATATTTACATGTGAAACATCCCTCCCTCTCTCCATGTTTCAGCCAATGGCAGGCCAAGGCAACGATGATCGGCCGATGCTGCATGTCTCCGCAAAATGCAGCACTGCAGATGGTTTTAGGGTTTAGGGTTTTAGGGATTAGGCCTCGCCTGGCGAAGCTGTTCTTCCATGCTGCGGCTTCGCAAATCCAGCAGCCCACGCTCCAGCCACGTTTTGTGTCCTTGCTGGTAGCCAGCTTCCTTTACCTGATCCGGCCCCCTGCTGCTCCTGCAATTTCAAGCGCCAGCGACCCCGAAGTATCGTTAAGCACCCCAAGCCAGTTTTTAGTATGGCAATCCTAATTGCCAAAGCCGCCCTTCCCGAACAAAAACCAAGAACAAAGCCCTTTCAGGAATCCAAAAAAGATCCCATTTTCGCCCAATGCTCATGAACCCTAAACCCTAAATTCTGAACGCTACCCTACTTACCACACCCCCTGATCTTTCAGGTCACTCTTCGTGACGGCTGTTGGCCTAAACCCTAAAACCCTAAACCCCTAAGCCCTAAATAGAGGTTTCCGAAAATAGGGGACCCTACTATGGTACCTTAAATAGTAGGATCCTTATTAGAAGGACCCCAAAAGAAGGTACCCCTTATGTTCAGGAACTCCCAAATGCTGCCTCATTCCGCCTTTCCAGGAGATGCAAGGGCAGCCTGAGGCAATGTAGGGGCCTTTAACAATTAGAATAGGGTTTAGGGTTTAGGGTTTAGGGTTTAGGGTTTAGGGTTTAGGGCCTTTAATAATTAGAATAGGGTTTCGGGGGTATATTATACTATGATTATGATAGGGCTTCGGGGGTATATTATACTAAAATAGGGCTTGGGGTTTATATCATACTATACTTAAATAAGCCTTCAGGGGTATATTCTACTATAATTATAATAAGGAACCCCCAAAACCCTACTCTTACCATGAAGGCCCCTGCATTATCAGGAAGCTTTCGGTGGTTAGGGCTCCTCTTCGGGGTTCCTCCGAGGGTTCATGGACGTTCTGCTGTGTAGGCCTTGGGGCTTAAGGCTTACCTTGAACTACCATAACCTACTTTTTTGTAGGTCCTTATTATAGACCCTAATATAGAATTTATAGCGACGCTACAGGTAGGTTTTGGTAGTTTAAGGTAAGGGTTACGTTGTAAGGCTCCGGGCTGAACTTAGATTTGTTGCTGCAACAGGCTCGCTGGGAAGTTACTAAACTGCACTACGAAGACCCAGACCTACAAGTAAACAAACCTGGCCAGAGTTTGAAAAGGCAGGTTCAGGGTTTAGGATGTAGGGGTTTAGGGTTTCGGGTTGCGTGCCCATAGACACATCTTCGTATGTGTAGATATTGAGACTTTAGGACTGTCTGCAATACCGCCACTTATGACTTGGGGCGCTGTGCAGCCATTGACCTGAACTCAAGCACATTTTGACTTTGACGTTCGAGGCCAAAGCTTGGGGTCTAGAAGATTTAGGGCTTATAGGGTTTGACACTCACACTCGGACCTTGCCGCTTATAGGGTTTAGGGTTTCGTCTCTCACTCTCGGTTTAGGGTCTGGGGTTTGAGGGGTTTGAAGGGTTTAGGGTAGTTTAGGCTTTTCCAGAATTGGGTCCCGATTTAGGGCCTACGGTAGGGGACCGGGCGTGTGTCTCCCGCACTCCTGAGATGGTTGGAGTCGGATAGTTTGGCCTGGTGTAGAGGTTGCAGGGTTTGGGGTTTTGAATACTGTAGCGGCCTTAAAACAATTAAAATGGGGTTTGGGGCCCTTTATCGTATATTTATAATAAGAAGCCCGCAAACTGAATGTAGGTAATTATTTGAGGCCCCTATATTAATTAGCTCAGATTTCTCCGCCATTGCAGGTTCCTGCGAGCCAAGTGGCACCCGCGGTCGCAAGCGATCGGGCTTGGTCATCTGCACGTCGCCCTCCTTCGTCTGCGGGAACAACAGCAACAGCCCAATGGTTGCAACAGTCAGAGCAAGCAGGGTACAACCAACCCTGGTAGAACCACCGGCCATCATACCAACACTGCTACTCCTACCGGTACTGCGACTGTGACAGCTAGAGCTACTACACTTCCTTCTGATTGGAGTATGTAGAGGGACAAAGATCAACCGCCCAAAGTCACTAAACACAAACCTCGCACTACACCGCACACTGTACATCCCCAAACACTGTCTCAACAGCTGTCCTCCAAGCCCAAAACCTCTGCGGAAGTCTGAGCGTCCAGCTCTGCCTCACAGAGAACTGAGCGATCCCGAACGTAGGGCTTACGTGCCGAAAAAATAGGTTTAGGGTTTAGGGCCAGCTTCCTTTACTGGGTTCATTACAAAGGTTCCATGCTGGCGACTACACGGGCTTCACAAGGCTTTTTTGTCTACATGGGCCTAAATGATTCGGACCGGATAACATAGCATGATTTGGGAGCCAGTATAATAACAAGCTGTAGCCAACGCAACCCGCCACAAGGAATGAAATCGCTAGACTCTGAATTCGAGATTCAATTGCCACCTTTGCCGTGCTTTAGGCTTTGTCGAGTAAGAGCTTCGTTCGGCATGAAGATGGCCAAGACGGGGGCCTGGATCCCACAAACCTGCAATTTTAGGGCTTAGGGTTTAGGGTCCCTACAAAAAATCCTTTATATCCCGGCTTTGGTTTCGCTATGCAAATCCAAGCGTGCACTCGCCTTAGAGAAGGCTTACGCAGTTTCTTGGAGTTCAGGCAGAGACAACCGCAAATCCCAAAACCCTAAACCCTGAAAGCCCTAAATTCAAAACCCCTAAACCCTAAACCCTAGCGATTCAATCTGTGAAATCTTAAGCCCTTACCTTAAACTCGAGAGCCCCAAGCATCCTAGAGCTTCGTTATAGGGTTTAGGGTTCTCCTTTACGGCCTTTTTCCTCAAAACCCCGCCGGCGGGAGACCTGCAACCCAAATCTAGAGCCCTAAACCCTAATATAGGGGCCTTATAGGGTTTAGGGTTTAGGGTTTAGGGTTTAGGGTTTAGGGTTTAGGGGTTTAGGGTTTAGGGTTTAGGGTATAGTAATTAGAAATGGGCTTTGGGGTTCATTATACTACAATTATATAATAAGGAACCCTCAAAATAGTACAATAAGGAATTGTTAAGGCCCCTGCCTGCAGTAACCCAGAGACTCCAATATCCCTCAATTAAGGAATATTCCTTAAATTATAGTAGGATCCTTAATATGATTTATGGTATATCCCTTAAGTAAGGAATATTGGAGTCTCTGGGTCCTAAACTCAATTATTAAAGCCTCTAAACCCCTAAACCCCCAAAACCC